TCTCACCATATACAAAAGTTAACTCAAAGTGGGTTAAAGACTTAAATGAAAGACCCAAAATGACAAAACTACTAAAAGAAAACAGGGAAATGCCTCATGACACTGGTCTGGGCAAGGATTTTTTGGACAAGACCTTAAAACCACAGGCACCAAAACCAAAGATAGAAGATATTACATCAAATGAAAAAACTTCTGCATATCAAAGGAAACAAAAGTGAAAAGACAGCCTTCAGAATGGGAGAAGATATTAGCAAACTATATATCTAACGAGGAGTTAATACCCAGAATATATAAGAAACTCAAACAACTCAGTAGCCAAAAAAAACCCAGTTAAAAAATAGGCACAAGACTTGGTTAGACATTTTTCAAAAGAAGATTTACAAATTACCACAGATAAATGAGAAAATGTTCAGCATCACTAATCATCTGGGAAATGCGATCAGAGCCACAATGAGATATCACCTCACCCCAGTTAGAATGGCTATTATCAAAAAGACAAAAAACAAAAAACGTTGGCTTGGATATGGAGGAAAAAAAACTCTTATACACTATTGATAGAAATGTAAATTAGCATAGCCATTGTGGAAAACACTATAGAGATTTCTCTTAAAATTTTAAAATAGAACTGCCATATGATCCAGCAATCGACAGGAAATGAATTCAGTATGTTCAAGAGATATTTGTTTGTACTCTCACTATTTTCACACTATTCACAATAACCAATATATACAGTCAACCTAAGTGGCCATCACTGTATGAATGGATTTTTTAAATGTGCTATAAATACACAATGAAATACTATTTAGTCGTAAAAAAAAATGAATGAAATCCTGTCATTTGTGGCAACATGGATGAGCCTGGAAAACATTATGTTAAATTAAATAAGCCAGACACAGAAAGACAAATACCACATTATTTCGTTCATGTGGAATTTTAAAAAAATGGATCTCATAAAAGTAGAGAATAAAATAATGACTTCCAGAGGAGGGAGTGGGGAGGGATGGAGAGAGATTGGTCAGTTAATACAAAGTTATAGATAGATAGGAAGAATAGGTTCTGGTGTTCTATTGCACAGTAGGGTGACTGCAGTTAACAATATTGTGTTATGTATTTTATCCCCCTTGTCCTCAAATCCTAGGAGTATACGCTATTTAGGGCCATCATCTCCCTGACCTCATGTTGACCTTTCTCAAGACAAGAGTTTTTCAACTCATTATTTATAATTGAGAAAAATTGGAAAACAGGCACAAGGAAACAAGCAATCGTGAAATACCAATAAAATATTTTTCAGGTACTTGAAAAAAAATAGCTAGAGGAGAAGACTTTGAATGTTCTCACCACAAAGAAATGATAAATATGTGAAGTATAGATATGCTAAATACCCTGATTTGATCATTACACAATGTATACATGTCTCAAAACATCACATTGTACTCCATAAATATGTACAATTATTAATGTCAATTTAAAACAAAAATAAATAGTAAATAAGCAACTTGTGTTTTTTCAAAAGCTATTTTCTATGTGCCATGAATAACATTCAAAAATATAATGTAAAGAATAAATGCATGATAAAATTTTGAGAAAGAAAAGAAGGGAAACTATCCTATAGATAGTAATACACATTATAGCATTTTAAATAAGAGTGTGGAACTATCATGGAGACAGGAAAAAAAGACAATTTAAAGTCCAGAAAGAGACTTAAGTGTACATATTAAGGAAGTGATGTAAGTAAAGGTAGTGGGGAAAATATAGATTATCTATTAAGTGGTGGTGTTCAGCATGTAGCTAATTTTATGCGTTAGCAGTTTGGGTTGAAAATAACAGAAATTGGCCAGGTGTGGTGGCTCACTCCTATATCCTAACAGCACTTTGGGAGGCTGAGATGGAAGGATCACTTGAGGTCAGGAGTTCGTGAGCAGCTGGGCAACATAGTAAGACCCCATCTCTACAAAAATAAAAATTAGAAAAAAAAAATAAGGCCAGTCACGGTGGTTTACAACTATAATCCCAGCACTTTGGAAGGGCCAAGGTGAGAGAATTGCCTGAGCCCACAGGTTCGACACCAGCCTGGGCAATTTGGTGAGACTTCATCTCTACAATAAATTCAAAAAATTAGCTGGATGTGATGGTATGCACCTGTAACTCCAGCTACTTGGAAGGCTGAGGTGGAAGGATTGCCTGAGCCCAGCAGGTCAAGGCTGTGGTGGCCGTGAGCATGCCACTGCACTCCAGCCTGGGCGACAGTGTGAGATTCCAAGTCAAAAAAAAGAAAGAAAGAAAATAACTCCTTGTCTTATAGACATACAAAAAAATGAAAGGAAGGAAGGAGGGAGAGTATCAAAGGAGGGGAAAAAAAGGAAAGGAAGAAAAGGAGCAGAAATCAATACTGGTAGGCTTAAGCGGAAGAAAAATCTACAGGAAAAATACTGAGAAGCTCAGAGTCTATAGAAAGCCAAGCCCAGAGGATGCCAGGACCAAAGGCTACTAAGGAGCTGGGAACACACCTCCTTGTGCCAGAGGAATAGAGTGGTCAGGATGCCATTGTTACTGCTCAGGACTCTAGACCCACCACTGCCACCATGACTAACCTCTAATGGCCCTTGTGTGTTCCTGTTGCTCCCTCCTCTCAGACCCAAGCAGGATTCAAACATAGAGCCTAGGTCACAGGCCTGAATCTTTACTGCTAAGGGTGGGAAGGGGAGGCCAGCCTGCCTGCAGCTGCTGTAGTGGAAGGCAGAGCACTGTAGCATCTCCCCAGGTAGGGGGGTGTCCAAATGCTGAGGAGCCAAATATGACAGATTTCCACTAACATTTGGAATGACTAAAATTAGAACCATACTTTATATCACAGACCAAAATAAATGCCACATGGATTCAGAATTTCAGTGTAAAACTTGAGACCATAAAAGTGCTTGACAAAAATATGCATGAATATTTATGTAATCTTGGTTGGGAAAGTTGATAAGCATGATATAAAAGTCAGAAAGCCATTAAGAATATTGGTAGAGATTATAAAGTGACCCAGAAAAGGAATCGTGGTCTGTTAAGTTAAAATAAAAATAGGTTACTGTGATTATATTTTTAAAACAGGATCACATTTTAAAGAATATATATCCTCTCCCTAATAGAACATTACCCATGGTTTTCCCTGAATGATAACACTGGACATTATTTTTTCCTTTCTTCCTTCTCTTATATTGAATTTTTTTTTTTTTTTCCGAAAGCTGTTATTTCTTTTAAAATTTGAAGTGTGAATGATTTGGTTAGTTTGTAAGAATACATAACATCTGGGTCTCCATAGACAAATTTTATTCTAAACTCTACAAAAGTGAGAATTACTTTAGAGAGCAGGTAATGAGCAGTTGTGTTTCAATACTCTCATCTGTAAAATAATAATGTTAAAGTAGCTGTTGGAATTTGCTCCATCTTGTGGTCCTTCAAGAGGAAGAACTGAATATTGGATGATGATCTTAACCCAGAAACCGAGGTTTTGTTTTTTTTACCTCTCCCAGTATTCTTTGTTTGGGTTTGTTTTCATTTTTGTCTTGTTTTTCAGAGAACTCATCTGCTTTACTAGGAGCTCACTAATTAGTATTCAGGCTATTGGTATCCAAGGCGAAGCCAGATACAGAGACTCTGAGATATTTATCATGACCTGTATTTCATCACTTTATGCTCTTACCTACAAAATAGAATTTGCCCCAACATATCCTAATGTAGCAACCCTTAAATTCCTGATGTCTTGTTCTTTCTTATCTTGAATTTCTGTCTCAGTAAAGAATGTGTGACATTTGTTTAACACAAGAGACAGAGTGACCTGAATAAAAGGACAGGCTCCTCACAGAAGCCTTGATGATAAAGGATGAGGGGAGGTGTTGCATGTTCCAGAAAGACCAGTCATCAGCACATCATAGAAACAGACCAAGAGATCTGGAGTCAGCAAAGAAAGAACATCAAAATGACCACTTGTTCTTATTCTTGCCACTTGGTTGCTTTTCTTTCTTGTAAAAGAGAAAGAATCATTCTGGCTTTGAATTTCTTTTCCAAAATACCATTAACCTTTACTTTTAAGAAGATATGTCATCTACAAGGGTACCTGTATAATCAATGTTTGTATACCTAACCCTGAATTATACCCCACATCTTTATAATAAAAAAAAAGAAAAAAGAAGATATAAATCAGTAAACATAGTCTTACCAGCATTTTCCAGTTGAAATAGTCATGTTCTAAGAGTTCTTCATGTTTAAAAAAATCCCCCTTTCCTGTGACCATTTCCTCAAGGAACTCATTGAGCATTTCTGTCATTTTATTTCTCAATAATAAACAGCATAACTCCGAACTTCTTTAAGTTTCAGAGTGTCCATGTCATTGTACTTCATGTTAATATGGGAACTCCCTTGCTATAGACTGGAATTAAATTGATATACAACTGTTTTTGATATTAGATAGCTTAGTTATAGTTTTTACCTAAGTAATTTTGCAAGACGAATATAAACCAGCCCTGATGTATGTATATTTTTTCAGTTAACATTTCATGATAATTTCTGTAGTTCTCTCATTTTTATATTTTCTACTTCTTTTTCTCTAAAATGTATTTATTTTGACAAGTTGAGACAGGTAATAACTGGGTGGAAGAAAAAACCTGTTCCTTTTCTCTGGTAGAAGCTAGGAAGAATTATTCTTACCCTGATTTTCTTGATGTTATGGTACAAGGTTCTGTTGGTCGGTTGTGGAACCCTCTGGTGCATGCAGTGTAATACACAGTGGCAGAAAAAGGGAGCAGCAGGTGCTGCGTTGTGGAGGCACCTTCCCTCAGACTCCCAGCCCTTGTGGACAAGGAGGTGTAAGTGCAAATGAGAGCGACGCACAGGGCCAGGCAGGCTCTTCTCCAAGTGAAGATGGTACCTGTAAGCACGATGCCCTTCCTGCCTGACAGTCTTAACGTCACAACTGGGTACCGCCAGACTCACCCCAGTTTTTCCTTGTCTCTTTGCAGGAGCGGCCTATTGCCAGTTCATGGACATGCTCTTTCCAGGCTGTATTAGTTTGAAGAAAGTAAAATTTCAAGCAAAGTTGGAACATGAATATATTCACAATTTTAAACTTCTGCAAGCATCATTTAAACGAATGAACGTTGATAAGGTAGGAGACTCATCTGTACCTCCATAAAATGCACTGTCTTACAATTTTTTATTCAGAAATGAAAATATCTAGGAACACATCAATTGACTATATGTTGATATTTCAGCAGTAGATTGGGATCTGTACATAGCATAAAGCATCAATTCAAACTTCCTATATTTGTATGAGGTTTTTATTTCAGGAGATTTTCCAAACTTGTAACCATTAGACTAAAACTCTAACAGGAATTACAGATGTTAAAATGTTGTCATTAGTTATATTTTAGCATTGCAGATGAGAAACTTTTATGTTTCCCAGATGCCTCTGTGGTTCTTTGTGTATTTTATTCATTCAGAGAAACATCATGAGGGTGAATCCCCACTTCTGACTTGAGCAAGTTATTTAATTCTATCAGTCTGAGTTTACCCATATATAAAATGGGACGTAAAGCCTCTTACCCATGGTTATGAAGTTATGATGACAGGATCCAGTATAGTATGTGCCCTCAGATTCTCAGTGTTCATGAGTTGCTCTTTTTTTCTCCTTTGAATTATTGTAACTTTGTCCTGAAGTGATTCAAATGGATTTAGACCTGGAGTTCTTTTCCCTTCAATAAGGGATTGTTGCAAAACCTTCTCAGTTACTTTCTGCACGTTTACTGCTATTCAAATACTTACTTAATCTATATTCCTTATTTAGGACATATCTCTTAGCATGAATAAGCTTGGAAAGAAATGAATTTTTGATAAGGGAAAAAAAGATAAACTAACAGGAAAAACGGAAAACTTGTCTTTGCATAAATAGTAGTAAAAATAAGCTGTAGAAATAAAAAATAAAATACTGGGTTATAAGAGATAAAGGTTAAAGGAAAGGAAAGTTTGGTAAACGGTATATTTTTAATATGTTTTTTCAGTTCATACAATTAATATCTTCCCAGATAAAAGCATTCTTATCAAAATAGTTTTTTAAATCTTGGCTTTTAATTTTATCAGAATTTTTATTTTGAAGCATACATTCACTTTAACGTCTTACCTTTTGGATTCTTTCCAACTTTATGTCCTTTGCTGTGGTTAATTTCCAATTAGCTCTTTCCATATGTATTCAAAACCAGAGCTGTATAGGTTCTCCTTACTTTTTATAAATTAGCAGTACTACTTGTGTCTTTTTCATTCATTTCTCCATACATGCTTCTAGATTGAAAAGAAAATAAACAATCTGTTCATAGGTTTATTCATGGAATTTGCTGTATATCAAATTAGTGGACTCTGACTCCCTCCAGAAGTATACGCACAGAATGGATGAGTAGTTGTTAAGAATGCTAAAGACCCCAGTACTTTGGGAGGCCGAATTGAGAGGATTGCCTGAGCCCACGGGTTCGAGAACAGCCTGGGCAACTTGGCAATACCTCATCTCTACAATAATTAGAAAAATTAGCCTGGTGGGGTGGCACGCACCTGTAGTTCCAACTATTTGGAAGACTGAGGCAGAAGGATCTCCAGAGCCCAGTAGGTTGAGGCTGCAGTGGCCATGAATGTACCACAGCACTCCAGCCTGGGTGATGGAGTAAGACTCTGACTCAAAAAAAGAAAGAAAGAAAGAATGCTGAAGTTAAAATTCTTGCAGTGGAAGGAAACTGGCATTGGTGGATTTTGATAATCTTTCTAGTTTCGATTTGCAGTGATTTAATCCAAAAGTCCCAAGAGACAGTGTTAAGTACCCTCGTTCATGTTTGCCATAGCCCAACAGCATGACACAGGGTTTTGTGCAGAGTTTTACTTGCCACTTCCGATTTTGAACTTGTGCCCCTGAAACTTTCATGTTAATAGAGAATGCAAAATTAAGCCAACAGAAGTAAAATGTCTTTTATCAGCTAATATATCACTTTCATCTCAAAAGTGTTTACCAATTTTCACGTCTGGCAATAGACAAAATACAGTAGTGTGTTAATTAAAGGGCCTTATGCTCTAAGAAGTCATTTTCTAACAGTCAATCAATGTCAGCATAAACAAAAATTTTAAACTCAGAAGACATAAAAGTAAACAATAATTAAATGAAAAGTCAATTAGGTGCACAAGTCAGGAATTCTTCCTTGTGAACCAATTTTGCTGAAGTTCAATCAGGGAAGTGAGAAGGAAAATAATCAACACCAAAGTCTCTATTATCAGAAGAGTCTTCATTTAAAAATATGATCTCCTCCATAAGTTTGTTTCTCTTTATTTTCTTCTGTACTTGGTTTAGCTTCTATTTTAACTGCACAAAAAATGTTTTTGAAAAATGTATTACTGATGATTTTGTTTAGTGGGTGGCCTATAATACTTTCTTCTTCCAAGTTGTCATTAATCGATAAGGTCTTTCTGCATACATGTTTTAAAGTGATCTCGTTGACACATTTTGGGATTTCAATTATATATAGCTCCTGAAGTGACAAAGCCTTGCCAACGGTTTATACACTTCTATTCAAATTGTTACCCAGCAAAGCTGTGTGCTTGTCTGAATTACATGCTCACAATCACATACTCTCATGCTCACAACCTAAATCACCCTCTAGCTTTGTTAATCACTCATGGTTCACATTCAGTGAGTATTCCTACCCAAAGATGTAGTTAGGATCCGGTAATGGCAAAATTCAGAGAGCTGGGTATCTTTCTACCTTCCTTTAAAAGACAGCAGCCCGCTGAATTAGATCTAAGCAATCAAACCATATTTTTTTTTTTTGACATATTGCAGAAGGTTCCAGTAAGACCTCTATAGGGAATACTAATTGACTTTTTAGGTTGCAGTAGGAAAGGTTCCTCCCTGGAATGCTGAGAGCATGCCTTAGAAGGTGATGTGTATTCTGTGCCCCTCCTTCTCTGCCAAAGGGCTGACCCATAGTCAGCCTCTATTTCCTTTCCCCACCCCCTCATGGCACAGAAGCTGTGCTCCTGGGTAGCCCTGAGTTACTGGGCCCTGTATCATGGTTAGTTGTTTTCATACCTGTCTCTCTGCATTGTAAATAAACTCTGGGAAAACTTATTTTGTTTCATATGAATGATTAAATTAGTATCTGTTTTCACTGATTTAAATCTTACTCATCTACACTCTTTAGTAGCTGTTAAGAGTTTATCCCCACACTACTGGCCAAGTGTTACAAAAAGACAAGAAGAGCTCCTTGATCTTGAAACAGCATAATGTCCCAAACCTCTGTTTTTGTGGGAAGATACCATGAGGGAGACCAGCCTCTCTTGACAGCTGAGAATATTCCCTCTTTCGTCTGGTTTATTCAGAAGTATTAAACATTCCAAGAGAACCAATAATGATGTTTTGGTTTAGTTCTTCTTTAATAGTATGAAAAAAATGATATTCTAGAATACAACTGACTAAGAAGTGGGGGGAGAGATTGGTGGTCATGATTGCAGGCATGTAGGAAATAGCTGTATTTAGGGAACACTTCAGTTGTGTTAAATACAAACAAACCTGAGATTTGTAACTCACATGGTGATTTTATATCGCAGGTAATTCCGGTGGAGAAGCTAGTGAAAGGACGTTTCCAGGACAACCTGGATTTTATTCAGTGGTTTAAGAAATTCTATGATGCTAACTACGACGGGAAGGAGTATGACCCGGTAGAGGCACGACAAGGGCAAGATGCAATTCCTCCCCCTGACCCTGGTGAACAGATCTTCAACCTGCCAAAAAAGTCTCACCATGCAAACTCCCCCACAGCAGGTATTGTCACTGCAAAATCATGGAGTCACTTTCATTTTAGAAAATAGCTCAGACCCTCCTGTGCTTTGATGTAATTGTGATTGATTCTTCCCAGCAGTCCATATTTTAATGCCTTTGGATGGATTTTGCTGTTGTCTGTCTGACCACATTTATCTTCCTGTGACCCATGTGTGTTAGTCTAATGATTTTGATTTAAACTGTTAAAAAAAAACAGAGCTATTCATGATATATCACTGAAGACACATTTTTAAATAATGCTCCAGGGTTAGATTTTCTTTTCCTTCTGGTTTTTGTGGAAAAAAAAAAAAAAACTCAAGCAGTCTGTTTAGATTTTAATTGAAATATTTTTGCTGTTTAATTGCTGGAAGAACTGACCAGAATATTAACTGAATTATGCTGTTAATGATGGATCACTCATGGCTGTAATCCCAACACTTTGGGAGGCAGAGGCGAGAGGACTGCCTGAGCCCACGGGTTTAAGACCAGTCTGAGCAACTTGGCAAGACCTCATCCCTACAATAAATTTTTTTTAAAAAATTAACTGGGTGTGGTGGCACATGCCTGTGGTTCCAGCTACTTGGAAGATTGAGGCTGAAGGATCACCTGCACTCAGCAGGTCGAGGCTGTGGTGACAAAGAGTGTGCCACTGCACTCCAACCTGGGTGACAGAGTGAGACTCCAACTCAAAAAAAAAAAGATGAATCAGCATCTGTAATACTTCAAAGGAAATTAATTAACTCTATATCCTACTTCCTGTATAGGCAGGGGCCAGTTTTTATATAATAACTTTCAACAATACCTCATTTATCCAAAAGTGAAGTCATTGAGGATAAATATCTGGAATTTTAAAGCTTTTTAAATTTGGGGCATAAAAACTTTTCTAAAATATATTATAAATATTCCTGCGATAAAAAAAGCCAATTTTACCAAGCAAAATGTGTTCTTATAAAATTGAGTCATTATTATAAACACTAGTTGGGTTCTGGACAATTAAACAATGAAATCCTCAGAAACAATGTTTCCATCCCAAATGTGGAACCCAGTATTCAAATTGTTAAATTGGTGCCCTTAATTTTGTAAGTAGTACAATCTATCTTCTATGCCCAACCTCCATTCAGAATGGATTAGAAATTGTTTAGAGTACTACATAGTACTAGTAATAACTTTGAGGTTTTTTATTTTGTTTTGTTCTTGTCTTGTTTTTGTTTTAGTGACACAGTCTTGCCCTGTCACCTAGGCAAGAGTGCAGTATCGTGATCTTAGCTCACTGTAGCCTCAACTTCTCGTGCTTAAGTGATCCTCCCTCCTTGGCCTCCTAAGTAGCTAGGACTCCAGGTACACACTACCACAACTGGCTAATTAAAATACTTTTTTTTAGAAATAGGGTCTCACTATGTTGCCCAGGCTAGTCTTGAACTTTCAACCTCAAACAATCCTCCCACCTTTGTGTCTCAAAGTGGTGGGATTTCAGGCATGAGCCACCATGCCCAGTGGTAGTAATAGCTTTGTAATCACAGTTTTCCTCACTGTTAAGAAGCTTTCTCCTCCTCCTCCTCCTCCTCCTCCTCCATTCATTACTCTGTGTCAGGTAGACTGAGACCATTGGAAAATGGCATTTTTTTAATTTTTAAAAATATTTTTTAAGGATAACAGGATTAATGCTCATACAAGTGTGAGATAGATGAATTCTTGTTCATTTGGATGAAAATAGTGATAGTGTAGATGAAGAGTAATAGACAAGTCTAGAAGATATTTAGAAGGTAAAATAGGTTAGATTGGTAATGGATGAATTCTGGGGTAAAAGAGAGATGTCAAATATAACTTCCTGATTTGTCTCCCACAACTAGAAGGGTGGCAGTATTGTTCAGGAAGTGCCAAAAGAGAACCAGATTTGAAAAGAAATCATAAGTTTGTTTTGGACATACTGAGTTTGAGATTCCTTTCAACATCTCAGAGGGAGTCTAAATAGGCAATTTGGGGGAGGGGGGTGCACACCTGTGACTGGAGTGCAGGGAAACAGGCTAGAGGTAAACATTTGTGAGTCTTCAGATATGTGTGTAATCGAATCTAAAAGTGAACAGTGAATAAGGGGTGAGTACCTAGAGAAAACCTGATGTTTACTGGTAGAGTAGAAGAGGTAGGGCTTCCATAAGAAGCAGATAAGATGTCAGAAAAATGGAAGAAAACTAGGGAGTATGTGTCAGGGTAGCAGGAGGACAGGAGCAGAATGGTTAGCAGTGTCTACATCTGCTGAGAAGTCAAGGAGAGCGAGGTCTGGAGGAATCCATTGGATTTCTCAACCGAATGATTTATCTGTTAGGTGGAATGATGGGACTAGGAATGAGTTGGAGAAGGAAACTTAGGCAGTATAAAAATCCAATTTTGGAGCCATGGAATGAGTGGGCCCATAAAGAACAAAGAAATCAGATCTTTAGAATAAAGAAATCAGATCTTTAGAATCATATACATTTTAGAGGGAAGAAGAAAGAAGAGTAAGCTGAGGGAAAAAAATGAACATCAGAAGAATGCCAGGAGAACTCAGCATCAGAGAACAAACAGTAGGAAATTTCTAGAGAGGGATCACCAGCAGTGCCAAATATTAATTTTGGAGATATCAAATAGGATGACACCTGAAAATAGGCCACAGAAGTCTGACTCCTAGGAGGTGATTAATAATCCTTTAGAGAACTGGTCCATTAAATGCCAAGGGCACACAGGCCTAGATTTCAGCAATTTAACATGGTGTCGGATTGTGGAAGTGGATGAAGTAAAGAATATATTCGACTTTTAACAAGTTTGTCAGGAAAAAAATTGAGGAAAATAGAAATATTTGACTATAGGGAAAAGAGCTGATGGGTAAGATTGGAAGGAGAATGATATTCTTGATCTGTTCTTGTTTGCTTTTAGGATAAGGCAACATGAGCAGGTTTGCAAGATGGGAGAAAGGTCCATGAAGGAATAATTGAAAATGGCAAAAAGGGAAATGGGCAGAGCATGACACTGAAGCTGGAGGAAAACAAAATGAGGTCAAGGGCATAGAGGATTAGAAAGGAAAGGAGATATTTATTTTTCTGGAATTGAAGTGATGGGAGGGTTGGATAAAAATTGAACCACAAGGAGTTCCAGAAGCAGATATGTATGGCAGTTCACACTGGCCTTCTACCTTTGACAGCAACTTTCATCGGCCTAGAAGCTAAAGTGCAGAAGAGGGGGTGGTGTGTCCTCTCCAGAGTCTGGGATTCAGGAGGCACATGGAGTGGGAGGCAAGGAGGTGAGAAGATCCAGGGTGTCTGCTATTTCTCATCTTAATGTCATCTTCTGTAGCTATGAATGATGGACAGATTGGTCTTGAAAGTCACCTGCCCTTCTTTCAAGTTCTTAGTAGTGAAATTGGATAGACCACCCAATATTTTTCTTTCACATCATAATGTGTCCTTAATTTTTAAAAAAATTGACACCAACGCTTCTCCTTCCCCAAACAGCACTGTCATTGTGCTGCCTTGGCCTTGTTTTCTAGGAATACCTTCATCTATCATTCACAAAAGCCACAGAGAGACTTGTGTCATTTTGGTGGAATATCCACGAACTGGAAAGAAAAGTATATATTTTCCAGAGTTTAACCTCTCAGGTAACAATGCTCAGGAAACACATTAAAGTCACCAGATAATAAATTTGGTTTTTAACATTCTGGAAAGCAGTAATTTCTGAAACCTTGTTCCTGCTACCTTACTATGTTTATCTCATTGATCTTAATTAGGGAAAAGGGAATATTTTCAAAGTCAAACCAGTCATTCCCTTTTTAAGAAAATATGTTCCAACTTTTAGACATTGTGGGGTAGTAAAACTATACCGAGGGGTAAATTATAGCAAAGTATATATCACATAAAGAACATTATTAAAAGCCCTGATAGGAGAAAAGCTCCTATAAATGCATTACAACCTAATTTTCCTAGCGGTCATGTATCTAGTTATTGGGAACACAGCCAAGAAAATGTAGGCCAAAAATGTCTTCTAAGAGTCAGAATAGATGTTGTAAAATCTGTGCTATAAAATGTATGCACTTTATGGTGGCTGTGAGCGTGCCATTGCACTCTAGCCTGGGCAATAAGAATGAGACTCCAACTCAAAAAAAAAGAAGTTATGAACTTTATTCTTTATTCATGAGAGTTTTTAGGGTACTTGTCCAGATTCAATTTGTTCTTCTGTAATTTAGACATAATTATAATAAATATGGGGATATGGTATTTCAGGACATAACTCATTGGGGCAAGGAATACACAGGCATCTATTAAGTACAAACAGCAGTTTAAAAAAAAAAAAAAGACCCCAAACACCTAACAAAATCTATCTAAAGAACTCAGTAGTAAGTAGCCTGGAATCTTTATTACAAAATCAAATCATGCCATGCCTCTCAGTAGTCCTCAGTGTATGTATAACAACAGCATACAATCATAATACTCTCATAGGTCCCTTATAATTCTTAGGATTCTATTATTATTTTATACTTATAATATTGGCCTAGAAGCATTTCCTCCATGAACTCTATTTTTACAGTCTCTAAACTGGGCCCTGCCTCTGGTCTGAAGCCACTCCAAGCCATTCTGGTCATACACAGATCTGATTTTATCCATCTAAAATTTAGGATAAACTAACGGGTTTGATGAGATGAGGATCCGCTCTCTGGGAAATCCACATGTCTATCACATTTCTCCCACAGTGATGCTAGGTCAGTAACATTTAGCAGTAGTTTCTGATCCCACCTCTAAGCCGTGGTCATTTAATTATCTACATCAAGCAGTGACTAGTGTCATTGAACAGTATAGCATCAGTGTAGTCATAAGTCTTGTGATTTGCATAACTTTTGCAACAGTGTAATCACAAGTCTTATGATTTGTGTCACTTTTGTAATGCATGATAAACTTCCTTTACTCTAAATGTAAACTGCAGCTATAACTTAAGTCCTATACAATGCTCTGCTGTTCATGTGGCTAATGTATATG